CTCAGAGAAACAGAATGAAGAGGTAAGGCCACAGCAATAGCTAACTCACCAGGTTTTGTTTTATGTCAGGCATTGTTCTTGATGTTTACGTGCATAATTTCACCTAACCTTCACAAAGTCTCTGTGAGGTAAGTAATGTTATTATCCCCATTTTATAGATAAGCAAACTGAAGTACAGGAGGTTACATAAGCAGCCCAAGTTCAACTAGTTAGCAACAGGCATGGGCTGGACAGGGCCTGATTGCCAAATCCTGATTCTGTTGGGTCTAGTGACCATGAGGGATTTGATGCAGGTTTGGGGCAGGTCATGTGCTTAACAGGGTCAAAGATCATTGAGAGGCAAAGGGGGAATGCAGGCTGAGGAAAAAACTATTAGCTTTAGTGACTGAGGGTTATTGTTGGCTCCTGGGATGGTATCTGAGGCAGTGGTGGAGTAGCAGCTTGGTTCCAAGACAAAGAGAGAGAGGTAGTGGACAGAGACCCTATATCCTGCGAGCTTATCATAGAGGTGTGGGGCTTAGCTACAGGAAGTAACAGGACTCAGTTCTAGCCTACAGTTTTCTCTTTCCTTGTAACTGTGATATCTGAAAATGTGTATGAGGCAAGAGGGTAGGATGTAGGCCCAAAGACCCCAGATGTGCCCTTGAGGGAGAGTGGTCCAAGGCAAGCAGGAGAGAAGGAGTAGTCTGGGGTTCAAGGGGGTCATGAAGAGACTTGGAGTGGGATAGTGTGAGCTGCTAGCTAAATCAGAAGCAACACAGTATAAAGAGAGGTTGGAGACAAACACCCTGAGAGAGGTTCAGTGGTGAGGAGCAGTTGTAGAGTGCTCATCAGGCCAGTCAGGAAATGTGGAAACACCTTGAGTGGACACCAGGCTGGGGGTGGGGGCCCAGGAGGATAGAGGAGGGAGAAGCAAGAGGAGTGTGGCACGCTACCTTGTCTCTATCATCTTCAGGCTGTTCCCAGGCTCCAGTCTATAGTTCTTCCCCCTTCCCTTCTCCGCATTCTTATATTTAAACAGTTGGTGAGATCCCCCCAACTCAGAAAGATCCCTTGCATAACAGGATTAGAGCACTGTTATCCACTGCTTGGTAGTCAGAGGCAGACTGATCATCTGGCACTTCCTCCTTGCTCCAACTTGATCTGGAAGCTGCTCTAAAATCTTTTCAACATCAGAGCAACAAGCAAGTCTCCACTGACAGACAGGTGGGGGCTGCCCTTAAGGAACCTGCATCTCCTGGTTGGGCACAAAGCTTTGACTGCTGAACCACTTCTTCCCCTAAATACATTTTGATTTACAGATGGTGCAGTGTTTCCATGCCATATTCTGGCTCTTCCAATTGGCTTTACTCACTCGAGATATTTCACCTTCATGAAGTAAAACTTTCAGACTGTCTTGCCAGCTGTAAGCACCATTCCTCAGCTTGACAGCCACATGGCACCTTCACTAAAAAGCCAGAATCTTTGCCTGCTGTCAGTTAAATATGATTGGCCTCATCCCACACCTTTCCAATCTTGTCTCACTGCCATTGCCTCTACCCTCCAGTTCAGATCCTTTCCACTCCCTATGCACACTCCTCAATTTCTTCATACTCTGGAAGAATCTGAATCCTCACACAAAGGCTCCAGGATCTGGCCTGAGCAGTTTTTAAATCTTCAGTGTTGTCTAGCAAACAGTCAATGTGAATGCCATCAAGAGAAAGCTGGGACAAGCAGGGCCATGAACAATGGGAAGCAGCACATCAAGGTATCACCATGGGGCCACAGCAGGCCAAAGGCCCTGGAGGCTGAGCTGCTCTGCAGCCGTAGTCACCAAAGACACCTTGAACCACTTACAGAGCTCAGCTCATTACTAAGAGCTTGTGCTCATCATGTTCTCAAAGAAATGGAACAACCCATTATATAGATGACAAGGTAGACAGTGGAACAACCCATTATATAGATGGCAAGGTAGACGGTGTGGAGACAAAGTGATATGGGCCTACGTTGGTCTCGTGTGTCTTATGCCTTGGGATTGTGGTATTTGGCAAAGAGTCTTGAATATGTATGAGATTATAAAAGAATCATCATTTTCGTGTTGGAAAGAGTGCAGCCAGAACGCCCCTGAGAAGTGAGAATGGTGAGACTTTATCTCATGTGCTTTGAGCAGCATACCAGAAGGGCCCAGTCCCTGCGGCACAACATCATGCCTGCAGAAGGTCAGAGGAAAAGAGGACAGTTTCACTTCCTAAACAGCATGCCTCTGTGAACTTCAATAAATGGTGGCTGGGGAAGGGCTTCAGGTCTTTTGTTCATAGGGTCACTATGTGTCGTGCTCGCCTCAATCAACAACAACTCAGCTTATGGTGTCTGCCGCAATGGGCTCAAGCACTGGGAAAATGAACGGTGCACATCAGCCATTTCGTTCTGTTGCAGACAGGGTCCCTGTTAATCATAGCTGACTTGATGACATCTAATAACAATAACATCGTGGCATTAGGACTAGGACATCACTTAGCTTTTATTTTCGTGGGTTACTAGAGGCTTCCTGTGGGGAGTTCTAGGTTGTCCCCTCCTGAGGCTCTAGAAATATCTTTTCCCTTCTCCATCTGCAGAAAGATCATCTGTTTGGAATACACGCCTCTAGATGGTGGGAGTTCTGGACAGGACACTGCAGGTTTGGGGATGCAAAGGCCTTGGTTCTTGAGATGACACAGGTGCAGAAAGGAACATCCTGTCCTTTCAATGAGACCAGCTCAGAACAGACCTAGGCTGCTAGTAGCTAGTAATATGCAACACTGTCCCCCAGCGGCCACATGTTATAACTGCAGCTCAGCAACCTCCTTACAACCTTCCAAGATGGAAGTGGAGAGGTCCATGAGGAACAGGAACGGATGAGGCCAGGCAGCAAGTGAAATAAAGGCTTTGTGTGCCCAAGCCAAAGAGCGAGTGAACTCCACATAAGCAAAGGATCATCGTGCAGCAAACATACACAGATAATGCACAAAAGACTCTTGAATTCTAATGTTTGAAATACATGTCCAGTGAGGTTATCCTGTATCCTAGCCAAACCCTGAACATCTGATGCTAAGTATTCACCTCAGTAAAATGAGACAATAAGACTTTTGATTCTCACTCCCACTCTACATCAGAATGGCCCCAAGAGCTTTAGGAATATGCATCTATCCCAGGTCCACACTGGTGGAATGAGGATTATGAGCAGTGTTTTCAGGCTGCTTCTCCAGTGGATGAAATGCGCCTCTGACAAGCATCGGGGAGGCTGGACTGCTGACTCCTAATTCATTCTGGAATCCCGCAGGACTGGCCCATTAGAAGTGCTCAGCATGTATTTAAGAAATGAATGAACGAATAAACTGTGTGAATGGATGGGTAAAGTGCACCCCCCCAAGCACTGAGTTATGAGCCTGAGTCCTTTATGCATGCGCATACACATACAGAGAACACACATGCACACAAAGTGCTCCACTCACATGCACACAGGCAAAGCGGGAAGCAGCCCACCCCTCCAGGTGGACCTGCTCACCCACAAATGCCCAGCGTTCCCCACTACACACACACACACACACACATGCACGTTTTGGTTTGTTGGTCTGTATATACTGTACACCCATTGGGTGCAGAGTCCACCCAGAGACTCTCAAAGTCCAGGGCCAGTATCCAGCTGAGGGACTGGTAACAAGCTTTGGAAAGGTGGAAGCAGCAGGCCCCTCCCCAAGCTGGAAGGCTGGGGAGCAGGGCATCAGCCAACAGGTAGCCAGTGAGCAGTCAGCTCTCACACTTGACTGAACAGAGACAATGGTGGCTGCTCCTTCCAGCCCAGCCTCCTTCCCACAGCATAGCCTCCAGCCAGCCAGTCCTTGAGTCTCCAGGAACCTCCCCCAGAGAACAGGCCCAGCTGGGAGATGGCCAGAAGGCATCACCCTCAGATTCCTCTGGGGAGGGCAGCTGAGCCCCCTATGAGCCTGCTGGGGGTGGGCAAGGGGCTATGGCCCTACAGGCATGGAGCTATCAGGAGAATGATGTGGGGTATGGCAAGGAGGATACAGACTGACCACAGGGGCATCACCAACCTGATCGGGGCCTCATCTGGCCTCTGAGGCCTCCACCCCACCACCCCTCACTAATCTCAGCTGTGGCTCCAGCCTGGAAAGACCCTCCCACCAACTGTTACCACCTTTCACCACCTTCCCTACGGGTATGAACCTGGAGAATCTCCTAGCCTGCTAGTAGAAACAAGGGACCATTGTTCCTGTGGCTCTCCACCTAGCTCTGAAGCACTACCACCCCTTCGGCCCTCAGCTCTGTTCTGCTGATTGGCAACTGGGCTAGCAATTGGGCAAGAGAGGCAAGCACTTATCTGGCTGAGTTCATGATGATTGTAAAGGGAAAGCAGCCAGAAGGAGACTAAGACATAGAGACTCAGAGTCTGCCTCCTGAGCCTGGAAGGGTGTTGAAACCTCTGGCCCTGTCCAAAAATACTGCACGGCCTCTAGCATAATGCGCTGGCTGGTGTCTGCTGGGAGTTAACTCACTTGTAGCCTCTCCTAACAGGGCATCTCATTCCTGAACAAAGTCCCCCTGCAGGATTGACTTCTGAGGGGCCTTTGCTGCCCTTGCACTTTCCCAGAAGCCCAGGGATCCACCTGTGTTCTGATTCTCAAATGAGGGCTGCTCTTTTCCAGCTCCAGGAAGAGGACACTCTGGAGGCTGCCCAGGAAGGGAAGCTGGAGGATGAGATAAGAAGACCCTGGGAAGTGAAGCCAAACCCTCCACATCCCCTGGAGTGGTCACAACCCTGCCAGGCTGCGAGACTCTGGGAAAGGTGGTCCCACAGTACTGGGAGTGCTCTAATGGGTGAAGGAATGAAGACCCCAGATGATAAAAGGACATGGGTTTCCTCTTCAGGCCATGACATCTCTGAGACAGGGCTCCCCTGAGTTTCTAACTCCTCCCAGGACCCAGGACAGTGTCTAAGAGGTGGGCCAGCTGTGCGGCTGGCTTCACAGCTGATTGCGGTTCCGCTTGGGGATGATCTTCCGGTAGGTCCTGCGCTCGGAGATGTTGCGCTTCACCTTGGCCGTGGTGGGGGCCTCATCCTGGTGCAGGGATGGGCTCGAGTGGGACTTCTTTAGGCTGGGCTTGGGCTCCCGGCTGTATTCAGCTTCCTTCCGCAGCTGATCCTCCCAGGGGTCCAGGTCCTCAGTGGGACAGTGCAGGCGGGCGACCAACAGCAGCACGTAAGTCTCATAGCGGATTTTCTGCAACACAGCAGCCCTATCCCGTCAGGCCCTCCTGTCTCAGCAGGAAGGGGGCTGGAATCGTGGGCTCACATACATGAAACTGTGGGGATAAAAAAAGCCCTCTGCACAGGGTTGGTCAAACAAGAGGGCTCTGGTATGCACAAGGACAACCTGTTACAACATCGCAGCTTTCTGTATATTATTATAGTAACATATTTCAGCTCAGTTCTGCTCTAATGACCATACTGTGTGGTGCTGAACTAATCAATGATTTCATCATGCTCAGATCCAATCAGTACTCTTGGCACCAACATGACTGTTGGACATCAGGAAATGTATTACATTGGGTAAATCTGCTGTCAAGGATTTCTCCAAAATACTGAAGAACAACAATGTCAGTGCGAAGACTAAAGTGTGTTTGATTCAGGCCATGCTCTTTTTAACTGTTTGCTACACATCTGAGAGCTAACATATTATGTCTCCGAGACCCCAAAGATCTGTAGCCCACTACACCTACAATCTGTGCAGCACTAGACACAAAGAGCTCTCAGATATACTGCACTCTAAATCTGAACAGTATTTTAATAAACAGCATTTGTAGCAGTTGATATCTGTTTAAAACTGCTAAGGCATCTGAGAGAAAGGTGGGCAATCTCCTCTCATGTGATTTGCAGCCTCTGACAAGCCTCTGGCTTGTGTCAGTTCTGTCCTGACTGCAATGACAGGGTTTTTGAAGGCATATGGGCTGCTTTGAGTCCCAGTGACAAAACAGACTTGAGGTACAATCTCCAGTCTGCAAAGTGCTTTCCCATTGTCCAACCCACTGGATCCTCACTGCCCTCCCGTGAGGCTGGCTGGAGCATCAATCACTGTCTCTGTCATATCAATAAGAAAAATGAGGTGTAGGTAGAGTCACAGGCTTGCTAAAGGTCACATCTGGTCAATGACATGGAAAAGCTGGAATTCTGAGGGCAGATCCTGTCCTTTGGGCTACACCATACCTCTGATAAGTGGTTTGCTCATACGCATGTATCCAACCAAGAACCTAAAGGAATAAGCAAAGAGCTTTAAGGCAGATGTGAAGGAGGGAGAGTGGCCACAAGAGGGCCCAGTGAGCAGAGCTACCCAGTCTCTATTATGGCCTCTGCACCACACTTTAACTACCCCTCCTGCCAGCAGGCCCCATGCTACAGCACAGAATTCCTGGAACTCCTGAAACAAGCACTCAGTTAGAGAGTTACTTAATGCACACTGACATGGGGCTAAAACAGAACTCAGAAAAAAAAAAAACAAAAAAAAACAGAACTCAGGTATGATGTGGAAGGGGTAGGGGATAAAATGTGCTGGCACCAGTCACAGTGCTGCCAGACCCTTAGATGGTCATTCCTTAGTTAGGACCACGAGGCACATACTTCATCGGAGCAGCATGTAAATTTACCAGGTTTGGAAGAGTGTAGGTAGTAATTGAGAGTGTACGTGTACTGGACAAGTTTTGTAATCTCTCTGTGCCTCAGTTTCCTCATCTGTAAAATGAGGACAGTAGTGTTATTAGAAAAGTAAATAAGATAAACCATGTAATTTGCCTAAATTGTTGCTATTTGCCTTCGAGTCAATTTTCAACCCCAAGTCACAGAATAGAACTGCTCCTTAGGGTGTCTGCGGTTGTAATCTTTACAGCAGTCAATGTCTGGGTCCTTCTGCCACCCAGCGACTAGTAGGTCCACCAACATTTTGGTTAACAACTGGCCCAAGCGCAAAACCAACTGCATCACCAAGTCCCATTGTGTCCATCCAACCCTACTGTCATGGCGTCAACTCCAACTCACACTGACCCAGAAGAGAAGAACCCCACAGAGTTTCCAAAGCTGGAAATTTTTACTGAACCTGATTGCTACATCTTCTACAGATAATGGGCTCAAACTGCTCACCTTTCAGCCAGCTGTAACCAGCTCAGTCCTGTAACCACTGAGCCACCAGTGCTCCTGGATATTACTGTCAGTGAATGGACTCACAGCTGACCCTCCAGCAGGTTCTCAGAGGCAGTAAATCTCACAGGAGGATATACCCCATCTTTCTCCCATAGAGCAGCTAGTGGGTTTGAACCCTACACTCTTGGGTCGGCAGCGTAATTCCTTACCACTAAGCCACCAGTGCTCCTTTGAATATTATTGGTACTGTTGTTGTTGTTGTGCCGTCGAGTCGCTTGCGACTCATAGCAACAGCCCTAAACTCTGCTCTGTCCTGTGCCAATCGCACTGCCTCTGACACACCCATCACAATTACCCCAGTCACTGAATCAATCCACCTCAGAGAGGGGCTTCCCCTCCTGAGCTGTCCCTCCACCCTCCCAAGCATGATGTTCCTCTCCAAGGACCGGTCCCTCCTTACAACATGTTCAAAGTATGTTAGACGGAGCCTCAGAATCTTTGCCTCCAAGGAGCCGCCGGTTTGGCCCTTTCCAGGATGAGTCTGTTTTCCTGGTAGTCCGTGGTACCCTTAATACTCTTATTGGTACTAGTATAATATAAAATGCAACGATTGTATCTAGAATGTGATTACCTGTAAAGGAATAATTCAGATCAACAATTTTTGGTTTTCAATTTAGCAGTCCAGTCAGAATCGACTCATAGCTGACCCTCCATTATGTTTCCAAGACAGTAAATAGCTGGGGAGGGAGTTGTCCATTCTTGCCGAGGAGTCACTGATTCGAATCACGGGAGGTTAACCTTTCTGTTATCTGCACAACTCCCAACAGACTAACCACCACTGCTCCTAAACAAACTTTTAGGATAAAAATGTTCTTCTTGTGTGCCACTGAGCAGGAACCAAACCACAGCTGATCCTCTGGCAGGTTTTCAGAGGTAGTAAATCCCATGGGAACAGCTGGTGGATTCGAAACTCATGCCTTTGCATTGTCAGACAACTCTACCACTTGGGATGAAACAGATGATAAAAATGTATCCACACAAGCTGCTGCTTAGTGCTTCGGGACAAAATGTGAATAGACTGAGTACACACAGGCACACACACACACACACACACACACACACACACACACACACACTCTCTCTCTCTCTCAGTATACTCCAATGCTCAGGTACAAACACGTGTGTGCACATATATGCAGACAAGTTCCACAGCTCCTGCAGCACACATTTTCACCTCATTGCGCAGAAAGAAGGCTGCAAGAACAGACGCAACCAAGAGAGGGCGGCAGAGAGTCCACCAACTGGGCAAGGGAGTGGAGGAAGGGAGGCGGCGAGCCTGGGGAGGAGGTGGGCCGGAGGCGGATCCAGGTGGGAGAAGGCAGGTCCAGAGGGTGGAGAGGGTGGGCCAGGGTGGGAGAGGGCGGGCACACGTGAAAGAAGATTGGCCCAGGCAGGAGAGGGCCCAGGCAGGAGAGGGCGGGCTCAGCTGGGAGGGCAGGTCCAAGAGGGAGAGGGCGGACTAAGGGGGGGCGGAGAGAGCAGGTGAGGGCGGGTCCAGGTGGGCAAGGGCGGGCCCAGGGACGTGGGGAGGGCGGACCCAAGCAGGAGAGGGCGGGCCCAGCTGGGCAAAGGCGGACCAAAGGGGGGTGGAGAGGGCAGGCGAGGGCGGGCCCAGGTGGGAGGGCGGGCCCAGGTGGGAGGGCGGGCCCGGCAAGGGGATGAAGAGGGAGGCCCAGGCGGGAGAGGGAGGGCCCAGGGGAGTGGAGAGGGCGGGCCCTGGTTGAGAGGGTGGACCCGGCCGGGAGGTAGAGAGGGAGGTCCATGCGGGAGAGGGCGGACCCATGGGGGGTGGAGCGGGAGGCCCAGGTGGAAGAGGGAGTGTCCAACGGGTGAGGGCGGGCCCAAGGGGGTGGAGAGGGAGGCCCTGGCGGGCGAGGGCGGGCCCAGATGGGCGAGGGCGGGACCCAGGAGAGAGAGGGAAGGCCTCAGGTGGAGAGGGTAGACCAAGAGGGCGGGAGAGGGCGGGCCAAGGCAGGAGAGGGCGGATCCAGAAGGGGGCGGGGCTGGCTCACCTCGTGCTCCAGATACTCTTTGCGTAGGCGGTACTCCTCCAGCTCGCGGCTGCGGCTCCTCCGCTCTGGCAAGTTTCTCTGCAGATCCAGCAGGTCGTCAGCAGTGGCGTCCAGGCAATTCTCGTGAGATCGATGCTGCTCCTCCTGGGGGCAGGAGGCGGCAGGAAGAGGTGCTGAGGGGCTGCGGGGCCGAACAGCCCATCTCGCCCCTCCCCTTCTCGGGCCAGGGGTTGCGTCAATGCCCTTGCTTCACCCTTCCAGCGAGCACATTCCCACCGCCCTCTCCAGGTCTGTACCAGGGAGCTCTGGGCCAGGCCCATCGGGAGGATGGGGCGCACGAATCGGCGTTGCGAGCCTACTGCGGCGGGAAAGGGGGGCGCAGAGTGCGTGGCGGCAGCCAAATTGATACGCGCGATCCAGGAGCTCATCTCTTTGGCAGTGCTGCGGACAGAGAAAGTTTTTGATGCCCAGGACCACAGAGCCCTTCTACCACCTACTCCCCTTTGACCCCTCCCCAGCCTCCTGTAAGGGACCGGGGTACAGGCCAGCTCACAATCACTCGTTGACTTTGTCGTTTCTTTCCTTTGTTCCAGAGGAAAATGAAGGCAGGCAATAGATTAAATGTAATAAACGGATGACTTAGTAGTGAGTTTCATGACTTAAAATGTTGTGTACCATCCAGTGGGAACTGCCTGATGGCTCCAGCGGGTTTGCACAAGCAGTAAATCTCACTGGAGGAGATAGCTCCTATGGAGCAGCTGGTGGATTCAAACCATGTGCCTTTGGTTTGGCAATTTAACTCCTTACCACTAAGCCACCAGGATGTTTAATCTGAGCTTAAAAGGAAAAGGTTTATCCACTGGCAAAGTATGCCAAGTGCATAAGAGAGGAAGGGGTGGAAATTCATGCCTCATACTTGTTATTCCTGCAGTGTGTTCAAGCTGCTAGAGAGCTTGGCTGCTAAGCAAACAGTTGGAGGCTTAAGTCCACCCAATTGTCCTTAAGAAGTAAATCTTGGCAATTCCCCATGGAACACAGTTCTACTGTGACGCATGGTCGGTCTGCCATACCTCAGTTGCCTGACCTGTCTGTTGATGCTGGAAGCTACCTGTATTTCAGATGTCAGAAGGATCACACAGGGACAGAGAAAAAAAGGATAGAATCTCTGTAGGAAGAAGTGCAGCCTTAGATGTGAGAATGCTCCTTAGAAATGAAAATGGCACATGTTATCAGTAGGGGTCAGCCCCTGGTTGGCAGGTTTTAGTTGAGCTTCCAAGCTGAGAGCAAAGACTTGGTGATGTTCTGAGAAAACTAGCTGCGAAAACTATATGAAGAGCAGCAAAACACTATCTGATAGAAGATGACACTGTCAGGTTCAAAGGAACTTTACTTAAAGGAAAACTTTGGGACCTTCTTTTGCTGATGCATGACTCAAAGGAGAAACAGCTACAAGCAGCCAGTAGTGACTAGAGCATGGAATTTGCAAAGGATCTAGGGAAATTGGAAGTTGTAAAATGAAATGGAATTCTTGAAGATCCGCATCGGAGGCATTTTTGTTGTTAGGTTCCATCGAGTCCCCTGCTACTCACAGTGACCCTATGTACTAAACCCTGCTCTATCCCTTGCCAATCTTATTGTCTCCGACACGTCTATCCCCATTACCCCAGTGACTGAATCAATCCATCTCATTGAGGGTCTTCAGAGAACTAAAATAGACTAGTATTGACCATTTAAAATTAGATGATCATATGCTCTACTATGCCAGGAAGGACAGTCAAAAGAAACATTTCACGATCTATCCTGAAGCATGATGCTGAATCTAACCTAAAAAGGAGGCCAAATAATAAGACAACTATTGATGTTTACACAATAGCCACTATTGCCAAACATAAAGAAATTGAAGATTTTTATAAATTTGTACAGTCTGAAATAGATCAAATACACAATCAAGATGTAGTAAAGTTACTGAAACAAAGGCTGTAAAAAAAAAGTATCAGTAGCAACAGGGTTGCTATGAGTCGCAGGCAACTCGACGGCACATAACAACACCAACAACTGGAAAATATGGTTCTGATGATAGAAATGATGCTGCCAATCAAATAACAGAATTTTGCTTGGCCAACACCTTATTTATTACAAATACTTCTTTCTAACAACTTACACAGCAACTATACATATAGTTATATGTATGTATATAGTTATGTGCCAATATAATACATATGCTGCATTAAAAAACAAGGAACTCATGCAATATTATTCAAAATGGTTGACTCTGGAGAACATTATGCTGAGTGAAATATCCCAGTCACAAAAGGACAAATATTACATGATGCCACTGTTGTAGAATGGGACTGTCCTTGGGGTTGGGGAGAGACTGAGTAAGATGGGTTCAATAATGTATACTGCACTGAAACAGAGGAGGGAGAAAACTGTTTAAAAGAGATATATAACTAGGTATTTCTGTCATCACAGGAGACTAGAGCGAGGGCTACATGGTGGAGGGGACCTGGGGGAGGGTTTGTAAAACAATGAAAGAATCTTTTCTTTTACTTTTCCATAATTTTTGACTCATGTACTTATAACTTGTTAGTCAAATTTGTGTCTTCTAGGTTGCAACACCCCCATGATACATCTTCAAGGATATGAACATGTACGGCCAAGCACAATCAATAAGAGTGCATCTAAATTCCAAAATCAATCTCCATAATAGTCTATGTGTTTCCTACTGCCAAAGGGGCCCTTTAGAGTAGTGAGAGAAGATCTTCACCCTGAAACCCACAGCGTCCCTTTTCAGCAGGAAGTAGCTAAGAGAATACGCCATCCCCTTTTCCTTATGACTCAGGGTGAAGTTTCTCTCAGGGAGGAGTGATAGAGAATGGCAAAGGACACACTGACAAAGAAGATTAATCAGAACTGGCTTTGACAAGCACTGTGGCATTTGGACAAGAACAAACTGGGAGGAGGGTAGAGAGAATAGTGCAACAATGAGTGAATGGAAACCCAAAATCTCTGTAAATATTTATGAAAATTAATAAAATATAGAAAAAAAAGATTAAAAAAAAAAGAAATCAAATAAACTACATCTATGGAAAGAAATTATAAATGAGCTCAATATGACCAAAGGTGGACCATCAATTGCTAATATCTAAGTTCAAATTGAAGTTGAAGAAAATTATAATGAAAGAGAGCCAAAGTACAACCTTGAGTATATCTCACTTAAATTTAGAGACCATCTCAAGAACTGAGTTGATTCACTGAACACTACAGACTGAATACCAGGTAAGTTGTGGATCAGTTTGATACATGAAGATGCATGATGAAGCAAAAGGTCATTAAGGATAGGCTGGAAAGAAAAGAGGGAAATTGACGTTAGAAGAGACTCTGAAACTTGCTCTTGGATGTAATTCAAGTCAATGGAAAAAATAATGATGAAGTAAAAGAGCTGAATAGAAGATTTCAAAGGCTGTTCAAGAAGACAAATTATTACAATGAAATGTGTAAAAACTTAGGAAATCAAAAGGGAAGAATACATATGGCATTTCTTAAGCTGAAAGAACTGAGAAAAAATTCGAGCCTCAAGTTGCAGTACAGAAGTATTCTATGGAGAGAGCTTTCCGGATAGGCAACGTGAGCTGGCACGAGGAGTCGCAGGTTCACGACGTGGCTTCGTGGACGCTACAGCTGCCAAGATGAGCGGCCGAAATAGGGGCAGGAAAACCCCTCACACCAAAACCCGAGGCCGAGGTCATGCCAGAGCCGGAGCCCGCTCTGCCCACCATGCCGCGGCGTGCCCGCCGGCCCCTCCGCAGTGCCCACGGCTTCGCCAGGACACCCCAGCAGCACAGGTGCAGGCCGGTGCGGGTGTGGGTGGCCTGGGAACCTCCGCGCCCGCGACACCCCTGGGCCCCGGGGAGGAGGGAGCCTTCGGGCTGCCCCTCGATTGTGGCCTCGAGCCCCTGGCCCTGGTGGCGGGCAGGTGGTCCGCCCGTCGAAGGCCGCAGCGCTCATGGAGCGCCTGGGAAGAGACACTCCCGTCGTGAGAACCGTGGGAGGTGTGGCACGGCCGAGATCGGGGCCTCGTGGTGCGAACCGGCTTGGCGTCGTGAGGAAGAAGGGCCCGGGAACAGGTGGCGCCGCCGCAGGGAGGGGCTCCCAGGTGAACACTGTTGGGAAGGCGAAGAAAGAGTGTGAGCGTGCAGCTGTCTCGCGGGAGAGGTGAAGAAGGAGGAGCACAGTGCCGGGCCAGGGCCCGAGGCCATCGCTGCCAGTGAGGACAGTCTGCAGATCGTCCAGCTCAAGCTGGACTCCATGAACGCTCAGGCCGACCGGTCCCACCTTCGCCTGGCGTGCAAGTTCGGGCGGCTTCGCCTGCAGCACATGGAGCGCAGGAACCGCCTCATCCAGGGCATCCCCGGCTTCTGGGCTCGAGCCCTCCAGAACCACCCCCAGCTCTCAGCCTTTCTGAGCAGCCAAGATAAGGAGCTCCTCACCTACTTGAACAACTTGGAGGTGGAAGAGCTTGGCCTCGCCAGGTTGGGCTACAGGATCAGGTTCTACTTTGGGCTCAACCCTTATTTTCAGAATAGGATGCTTATGAACGAATACGGCTGTGGCGCCTCGGGTCAAGTCGTGTCCCGTTCTACTCTGATCCAGTGGCTCCCAGGCCATGATCTCCAGGCCCTGACCCAGCGCCACGGCCGTAGCTTCTTGGGGTGGTTTTCCAACCACATTACCATTCAGTCTGACAAAATTGTTGCGATCATCAATGAGGAACTGTGGCCTAACCCCCTGCAGTACTACTGTATGAATGAAGGGGCCGGTGGAGAGAAAGGAAAGCAGGTCAGGCAAGATCCAGCAAAGCAACAGGTGGAATCCGGTGAGATTAAACCACCTAAATAATCTTCCCTACCTTCCCTTCGACCTCTGCCTGGAGGCTACTCATCCCTTGGCCATCTGCCTTCTGTTAATGCTGACCTCGTGCATCGTATCCCCTTGGGATTTTCACTGCCTCCAGCTCCGTGATCATACAGTCTTTATGATCATGTTCTTTTTCCTCCCTGTGGCCTTCATGCTTTTTTACATTAGTGTCACAGGTGATGTGATCTCATGAATTCTGTTTATATGCTAAGCACATGGTGCTTTCTATGTGTGCTGCCTAGCGCTCTAAATCACCAGGACCCTGTACTTGACTCTGACCTTTTCCACTTGTCTTAACATGAACATTCACAAGTCTGCCTCCAGCATGACCAGTACAACCACAAGTCCTGCTACATCAAGCCTAATGACTTGCTGGCCGTGGTGTGCATGCTGTACATGTTTGGCATCTTCCCTGTTGCTGCCCATAAAATCAGTGCACACTGATCATCAGCCACAATTGAGAGCTCCAAGACTCTGGGACACCTGTTATGCTGCCACATACTGAATTTCAGGCTTTGGCCAGA